TCACACACACACACACACACACACACACACACACACACACACACACAAAGGAACATAGTCTTTGTCCTGAAGGCACTCCTGCTGATTATTCCACAATAGTATTAAGCAATTTCCCTCCAGTAACAAGTGGCTGGTTACCACAGTGGGAATACATATCACCCTGTCACTTTGGGAGAGCCAAATTAATAAAGGTGAACTGCAATGTTACAAATGAAATTTGGCCATATCTATCTATCAATCAATAGATAGATAGATATGTATTTATAGCATGCAATCACCATCTTATCTAGGTGTTAAATGGATTTATATCTTTATCTATTCTCTGTCGTAGGGTTTGTTCCCCTCAGCCTGTAAACCCCTGCAGAATTCAGCAATAACAAATTCCAGTAAGAGAAGAGCAAATGTATTGTAGTTCAATGTGAGGAGGATGTGTACTGACAAAGCTCTGGCGGGGGGGTCGAGGGCAGTCTTTGTACAGTGCTATCTGCACTATAGCCCTGTCTAAACTAGGGAGAAGGTATTTTTTTAAAATACCAACACAGTTTTAAAAACCATTTAGCAGACAGGGTTTAACAACTTAAAAAAACCTATTAGCTCATTATGATCAACTCCCAGCTGGCCCCCAGGGAAAATATTGTTAGAAAACAGGTATCGTAAATGGAAAAACAAACCACTAAAATCTATTGTCAACACACATACCCTGATTGCCTTGTCAGCTAAAAATCTTGCCAGCTTATATTTGTCCAGTTTGGGAGAAAGAGGTGACTCTTCTGCAACTCTCTGGTTTATCTCTAAAAAAAGATTTAAAAAAAAAGCTATCATGCAACAGGAACTGTAACCAATTAATACATAGAAATAGAGGACCATCTTTTGCAGTGCTCACTCATTTCTAGTCCCAGATCTACACCCTGAAATACTTAGCACCACGATGCCTAACTTCTAGAAAATCCCTCAAACAATATCATGATCCACAAAGCCTGAGTTAGGCTCCCGATGCAATGCAGGGGAGAGATAGCACCTAAGAATGTGATCTGCAAAAGTCAGCATGCTAAACAGTGAGCCACCTAAGCTAGCCAATGGGAGATGCTGAGGTGAAGGTGTGTGCAGGGCTGTCCTTAGGCTTACGCAGCTGCACAGGGCACCATGAAATTGGGACCCCAAATTGCCCCAAATTTCATGGTGCCCTAGGCAGCTGCGTGCTGCATACGCGGCAGCACCAGCCCCGGCGACCAGCCCTATCTCTCAGCCAGCCCCGCCCCCGCAAAGGGCAGGGCTGTCCCTAGGGGGGACGTGGGGCCCCGGACAACTCCCTCCGCCCTGCCTCTTACCCTTCCCCCCTGCTCTGCCCCCGGCCTGCCCCCATTCCACCTCTTCCCCCAGCGACCCCGCACTCACCAGCAGCGGCAGGAAGCAGAGCAACCCTGCCCCAGCCCGCTCTACTCTGCCAGCTTCCAGCCGCAGTGCTCCGCTTCCTGCTGTCGGTGAGTGCATGGAAAGGATCACCTCCCGCACTCACCAATGGCAGGAAGCAGAGAGATGCGCCCCAGCCCGCTCCACTTCCCTTGCCTCGGCCCCAGCCATGTCACTCACGTTGGGGAAAGGACCATCCCCGGCTCTTACCAGTGGCGGGAAGTGGAGCGCCACGGCTGGGAGCTGGCGGAGTAGAGCGGGCTGAGGCCGGGCTGCTCCGCTTCCCGCTGCTGCCGGTGAGTGGGCAGGGGGATCCCTTCCCCCATGTCCCCTCCCCTGAGCGACACAGCTGGGGCCAGGGCAAGGGAAGCGGAGTGGGCTGCTCCCAGCCCTCCGCTAATCCCCGGGGCCACTCTGGGCCTGTGGGGCCCCCAATTTGGCCCCCCACAGCTCCGGCCTCCCAGACCCTGGGTATGGGGAGGCCTGGGGCCCCACACAACCCCCCGTGGGGGAGCTGCGTAGGGCTAGGGACGGCCCTGGGTATGTGCTAATCCCCATCCCCTCATGAAATTCAGCACCTAAATCTGGGCTGCAGAAAGGGGACTATCTCTGCTAGCAATCCACAGCTGGGAACCCCTCTCCTAGAGACAAGTGGCTTAGGTGCCTAAGCTGTTTATTGTGAGAATGAGCTAAGATCCCACCTTACCCCACACAAAATGGACAGTGATAAGGATCAGAGTCAATGGACCAGAGAGACTCGAACCTGCTGCTTATGGCACCCACCTGAGAAGTGGGAGACCCAGGGTCCAGTCCCCTTGGTCCAATAACTATTTAAGTATTTACCCAAAATGAAACAGCTTCAACAGGAGAGAGCGAGAGCTCCACATCAAAATATCCTATGGCTTAGTAGTTAGAGCACTGTCCTAAAAGGCAGGAGACTCCCCTCTTCAGATCCTTCCCCCCCCCTCAGGCAGAGTGGGGAACTGAACCCCCATCTCCCACATACCAGGTTAGTGGTCTAACCACTGAGCTAAAAGTTATAAAGGGATGGCGGCACCTCCACCACTGGCCAGATTTTGAGTGGCATGTGAGCATTCCTACCAGATCAGACCCTGCAGGCAAGATAAGTGCTCTTTCTCTGGTTTGTGGATCGCACTAGGGCTTACTCAGAACAGGTTTCTGGGCACCTAGAGTGAGGCAGCAGCATGCATGTCCAGAGGCAGAAACTTAGGAAACTTTTACCCTGAAAGCTTAGGCACTGCGTGAGTTTGGGTGCCTATGGGGTTAGGTGGCAGCCAACTGTGGGTTTTGTGGATCACAGTGGAGTCTAAAAATGTGACCTGGGCACCTAAACCCCAGAATTAGGCACCTAACTACTTTTGTAGATCTGATCACTTATCAAACATTTTCGGGTGGTAGGTAGACACTAATCCTTACCTATTTCCTAAATAAAGAACCAATCCAGCAAACACTTAGGCACATGTGTAACTTTAGTCATCTCAGTAAAGTTACATATGTGCTTCAGTGTACACAGGAACAGGGCTAACCTTTGTTTTCTAACTATTATAAATAAAGTGCCAACTATCTCCATTTGCCCCTCAACCTAGCCATCATTCATTGGCTATCTTTTTTTACAGCTATTGTGGCAGAAGTGAGACTTAACAAGAGATCTGAGGAAGGAGTGAGTAGTGGCCTTATGGATCAATTCAGGAAAGGAATTCCACATCTAAAGGGCTGCTTGGAAGAAGGTGCACAGACATTGTGCAAGAAGCTGACAGGTGGACAAAGCTGGCATTGTTGGCAGAGTGGGAGGATGGGGGGGGCAATTCAATCCAAAAAAGAGGAGTATGGAGGAGACAAGTTGCAAAGGGAACCTGAATTTGATACAATGAAATGGGGAAATCAATGAAGCTATTAAAAGAGGAGGATATAGTCAAAGAGTCGGGCAAGAAAGGTGGCCTTAGCAGCAGTATTTTGAAGGAGTGGCAGTGGTAATGGGATCATTAGCGAAGCCAAAGAGGAGGTGGTTATAATTGTTAGGGTAATAGATGATGAGGGCCTGAATGAGACTTTTAGCTTTCTGGACAGAAAGAAAAGGATGGGTTTTAGAAATATTTTACAGAAAGAAGCTTCAAGAGAGGCTGCTGTGGACAGGACATTCCTCTGCACAGAAAAATATTACTATGGAAAAAGTAAAGACTAATGAGCTTTCTGATTAGTCCGATGATTACACCTCAGCAAAGCTTCCTTTTTCCACCAGTTCCAGCAGAGAAGAGTAACTTCCTGTGAAAACTACTTTTCCACATGAAGTCTACGAAGAAAGAAAGTAAATTTAATATGAAATGACAAAACAGACCTCTCCATCCTTGTCAAGTATAATGGAAAGTATGGTTAGTCAAGGTCTGATCATGCAACCAGAACAGCATCAGTTGCACCATTTTCCCCATACGGAGCCCTTCTGGCTTCAGTGGGACTCTGCATGGTCCACCCACGTACATCCAAACACTGGCTTGAAACCTAATGGAAAGTTACCTCTGTTGAAACGTTGCCAAGATAGACTACATGAACTAAACAAGTTTCCACTGGATAAGATTCCATGATATCAGCAAATAGGGAATTTAGGAAATGCCTTGGCCTTTTTAAATAACTTTAAAAGCCTGGACATTAAGGCCAGATCCCAAACCCAATGATCTCTATGGGAGTCTTTTCACTGATTTCTATGGGCTTTGTATCAGGCTTTTAATGAGAAGAAAGTACTGCACTTTTATATATACCCATTTGTTTTAATGATCTTGTGCAAGTATTCAGTCAGGATATTACTTTGGGAAACCTTTAATGCTGTTTTGTAGTTATTTTGCTAAAAAATCTAGCATTTTCATTAATAAAACACAGCATAGTGTGAATTTAGTCACAGCTGAGAATCAGCTTGCTGTACAAATGTGTGTGAAAATGTTTAAATTAGGAAATACCAACATTAAGGTACTGACCAGCCAGAGACTTACCAGGAAGCAATCCCTGGTGGCAGCAAACTGTGGGAAAACATTTGTTCACACCAAGTTTTGGGCTTTTCTGGGGAGGGAGGTTGGTTCTTATCATTCCTAAGAAAGAGAAGAGACAGTTTCCAAAATACAGAACTAGAGAAGTTATCTGAAATTGATAAGACTAGATGTTATAAGTGAGTTAATAACAAAAATAGCCATAAAGAGTCAAGGAAGAAATAGTTAAAAGCTCCAATTATGATACAAGCTTTCTAATTAAAATGAAATGAAGCTGATACTAGAAACCTCTGGTGAAATCAATTTCTTCTATGATTCCAATTACCCATTTCCATCAATGGAAGGAACTGGTTAATTAATATATGTAAGTTTATTTCATGGTGGGAAAAAATAATTTTCTCTATAGATTAATAAACTCTTTTAATTTAGGTATATAAATTATCTCCATAAGACATCACTCAAAGGAGATGTATTAAAGACAGTTAGTTCTCAAGGACCTGATTCTGAAAAGTACTGAGAGCCAAATGCAGTTAATGCAAGATTAAGGGTAGCTAATCCTTTATATTCTACAAGAAATGAGCGAAAAACTATGTGAGTTAAGGAAGGAAGAAAAACTGGATCACCAGCATGTTCCCTTTTCTCCTAACCCTGCAGCAGTCTCTCCCTTAGGAATCCACATTAGCAGAGAGGGTGAGGTTGAAAGTAGACATAGGATGACTGGTGGCTCTCCACCAGATTTTCTGCACAAAAATCCCACAGGCTAAACTTAGTAAATTATTCCTTTGCACTATGGAATTCCTCACCTTTGTGGTATATTTCTGGACAGACAAAGTTGGAGGAGACTGTAACAACACAGCTCCTGCAGGAACCTAAATATGTTTTCCAGGGACTGCAACAAACCAGAGGTGCAAGGTGTGGATGGCTCTTGTGCCAAATGGATCCCTGAGCTCTGCATATGTCTTGGGAGATGTGAGAGTTTAAGGGTAAAATCTCCAGTCTCTTCCACTAAGGGACAAACTCTGCTACATCTCCACTGCTCTAACACCACCCCATCCTCCTCCTCAACCCCAAACTGGAAGAATTCCATGGACACTCCAACAGTTGAAGATTTCAGAGTTTCCACCTCCCTAGTCACAAATAACCAGAGCAGGGAAGAATGGGACCCTAAATGTATCATTTGACTGAAATCCCACTCTATGTCTGTTGCTCTGGGCTACTGCTGGTTTGAAATCTCTATATAAAGATGTCTTTGCATTAGGAATCATGTCTTACATATAATTTTGTAGATTTTATTTTAAAAACTCAGTAGACTTCATAACATACAGCAACGATCCAGTGAAACAAATCTGTAGTTTTAATTAGGCATTGAAATTAAATCATTAACAATTCCAACTATACATTTTATCTCCTAAAAGGTATAGTATATAAATATTACATCCTGTTCATTAGAAATGACATAATCCCAACCTTCGACTTATCTTTTTTAAAGAATATAAGTTGTCCCATAAGTAGAAAGTCTAGATAGGCAATGGACATTGAAAAGACATTGTACGGGGTAATTCATCTCTGAACAAGTGCTAGCTAGGGACATGTCCTATTCTCAGACTAAGGGATCTTTTGTTAGAAAGAGATTATGAAAAAGATTAATTATATATTGATATTTTATAGCTGTCATCTGACTTTAGCAAAAGTTTGATTAAAAATTCATTTGCAAATACAAACTGTTTTCTTCTTCTTTTCTTTCTTCATCACTTAAACCCAATGGGAGCAGTCTTCTTTCTGCATGAATCTGATTCATCATGATATATTAAGCTGTGTCATTGTTACTTCATTCTTTGGCTATTTGCCCTGCAAATTTAGAGAGAGAAGATAATTCAATTTGTTGTCATATGCTTCCATGCTACATTTTCTCTATCTCTTATTATTTTTCAATATTAAAGGGACAACACCAACTTAAAAACACACACCCTTCTTTTTGGAGCTGCTTTCCCTACCATAGTATTGTTCACTGTATGTAAGTGATGGGAAATGGCTATAGAAATTATGCCAAACCAAAAGTATGCAATCGATATGCAGTCCTCCTAAGTGGCATGGAAGAAAAATACTTTGGAGGTATAAAAAGGTCATAGTTTCTGTAACAACGTGGCAGTTTCAGCCGTGTTCTCCCAAATACACCTCCGCGACTAGACCTATACAGCCTGTGTCTGAACTGCACTGTCTGCCTGTGAAGACCAGGAGCTACTCGGGGCAGGGACTTGACTTTTGGCTGATCCTAAACGTGAAGAGTTGTAGAGCGGTCAGCGAGGGCAAGTCACCCTTACAGAGGGGGCTGAGGGAGTTCCCAGGCCAGGCTGAGCACACTAGGTGGCCTGTTTAACCAGCCTTTGGGGTTATCCCTGGCAGAGAGAACTGGATCGACTCAGGCTGTTCTAAGGGGCAACCTGAACACAGAAGTAACTTCCGTGGCCCCTAGGAACCTACTGAGCGGGGCCTGGCGAGCACCCACCTTACCCTCTGGGAGCAGCTTCTTTCCCCGGGGCTGCAGGCCCTTCCCCTCCGCTGGCTGCCAGCGCTGCACGCTCCGCGCGTGGCCATTGTGACCTTCACGGGCAGCCCGGGCGCTGTGAGTCACTCAGGATAAGGGCGGCGGAGGGGCGCCGCGGCCCCAGCGCCCGGGGGAGGGTCACAAAGGGTCGTTCCCCGGCTCAACCAGCGGCTTGGCTGTTACTGAGCATGCGTCAGCTACCTGGGCATGCCCACAGTAACATCGGCCGAAGCTGGTGCGCTCCGCTGTCTCGGGTGGCTGCTGCTCTGACTTGCGGTTGCAGAGCGACCGGGCTGCGCGGCTGGGCCGAGTGTGTTGCAAAGTGAATGCACGGAAGGACCACACACGTGGAGGCAGGGGAAGGAGGGAGGCGGATCAGCAAAAGCAGGAGTACTTCCCCCCCCCGGTCCCTCACACTTTGCTACCCCTGAACCCGTCACCAGAGGCGCGGAGAGGTGGCGTGGCAAGGCAGCAAAAGAGAATACTTGCTCCTGGCAGCACAGCGTGCAGGGAGCGGTGTGGTAGCACCATGCTGCTCACGGTGTCACTGCCACAGCAAGCAGCTCCTGCTCCCACTGAGTTGGAAACCCCACTCCGCACACAGGGACAGGGGTCTTGGAGCTGCGGCTTGGAATCGCTAGCACCTAGAGGTGTCAGTGGGAAGGGAACCGGGACTCAGGTCAGCTTGGCAAGGAAAGATAAACGGTGACGTTGGGGATAGAAGAGGCATTTAGATTTACAGGAGTATATTCCCACCAGTACCGGGTTTGTGGGTAATAAAGGCAATCTGGCTGAGGCTGAGCTGCCTGGCCATGATTTCCGTATTAAAATACCTGATAGCTTAGCTCGATATTCTGGACTTCTTTAATGGAGTTGACCAAACTTCCAGAGCTGCAGCATTAATGGCCTCCATGCTGCTGGATTTACCAAGCGTGTGGGGTAAATGCAGGCAAACGGCTTGCCCTGGCGCACCTTTTAAGTTGAATGGCAAATCTGTACATCCAAGGAACATTGCTGCCTTCTCTGACTCCACGGGGGATGAGAGGATGGCAGGCAGGAAAGGAGGTAAACACCTTGGCTGAAAGAACAGGAGTACTTGTGGCACCTTAGAGACTAACAAATTTATTAGAGCATAAGCTTTCGTGGCTTATGCTCTAATAAATCTATTAGTCTCTAAGGTGCCACAAGTACTCCTGTTCTTTTTGCGGATACAGACTAACACGGCTGCTACTCTTTGTAGTATGCTGTTAACCAGCTGACAATTCTACCTCTAAGGCAGTTAAACTTCAGTGATGGGTGAAGTGGCCAGTGTTTTAAGTCCTTGGGGTCTCTGGTGATAGGTCCACTGGTGAAACACATGACATTATGCCATTGTCATATCATTGGCTTGTCCCCACCATTCCTGAAAATCAAAAGTTAACTTGCCTGCCGCAAAGTAAAGGACTAAATCAATGGATTCTCTACAGGGCTATTACTGTTTGGTGCAGAATACCTCAATTTTTCAAATTAATGCTGATGTCAATGGAAGTTGGGGGCTCTCAGCATCTAATTGGTTTGGGCTATATAAGAGAATTAAGCCCTCAAGAGGACATGATGGTCCCTTTTTTATTTCTTTTCCCTTCAAGCCCAGTGATAAAATAATAGTCTTTCTTCATGTCTGATGTGTTGAAAGGCCTTGGTCGATCATAAATTTGAGAAGGCAACTTCTTGGAGACAAGGATTTAGTTTTACAAATGGCAAGTATGTTACCATATAAAAGAAATAGAAAACAACCAGTTAAAATACACTCAAAATACTTCACATAAAACCTTCACCCGACCCTACCCACAAAATGGTACACGCAAACCAGTTAAACAAAATACCTAAACCCTGATAGGATGATGTTTTCAACCTCTCAGTTCTCATTCCATCCATGATGTTTAAAAGTTGTTCCAGTGGTTTTTGCTTTATTTTTGTAAAGACAACATTCCTTTCTGCCCCAGTGAACCCAAACTAAACCATTCTTGTTTCTATTTGAACATCAGTTGGGAGTGAACTTTTTCCACATATTGAAGATACAACATTATAGGAGAGATCAGGGTTTCCTGCTGCCTTTCTTGAAAGAGTTAGCACGCAAGTATACCTCCCGAGACATTGGAAGCTTTTGGTGTGGTGGGAAGACCATCTCAACAGCCCAACACTGTGGCATTTAATTTCAAAAGGGGGAACTATGCAAAAATGAGGGGGTTAGTTAAACAGAAGTTAAAAGGTACAGTGACTAAAGTGAAATCCCTGCAAGCTGCATGGGTGCTTTTTAAAGATACCATAATAGAGGCCCTTCAATGTATACCCCAAATTAAGAAACACAGTAAAAGAACTAAAAAAGAGACACTGTGGCTTAACAACCATGTAAAAGAAGCAGTGAGAGATAAAAAGACTTCCTTTAAAAAGTGGAAGTCAAATCCTAGTGAGGCAAATAGAAAGGAGCATAAACACTGCCAAAGTAAGTGCAAGAATGTAATAAGAAAAGCCAAAGAGGAGTTTGAAGAAC